AGCGTTTTGCACCGAACAGTAACTGTTGCCGATATTTACCTGTATATCCTCTTATAGTTTTAATATCTTTATTGCGTTTTGACATAATCACATTTATCTATCATATCGATAAAATCTATAGAAAAATTAATATATTATAGGGGCTGGTTGTAAATTGTTAAATTTGCTAATATGAATTTTGATAGATATGGGTATATGCCTTGAGGGTGGGTGGATCTAAGAGAGAATCTCTCTTTCTCTCTCTCTCTCTGACATATAGATCTTACGTGCTTACCAATGACATTTTTGATATTAAGGATTTCAGTCTCAATAATAATTGCTTGTATAAAAATTTGACACTACTAAACATTTTTGGATGGGATATTTTCATGTATTATGAACATCGAAAAGTGAATATGAAAAAACGAATCGCGCACTCAAAAGTAACAAAATCATAAAAGTGACACTGGCTATGTACTCTGTAAATGTTTCGTTGTTTTGAAGATGTTATGATTTTTTGGATTATGAGTGATAACAAATGGAATTATGGTTTGTATATTTCCGGGTTCATTCTTTCTGTTTACTTTCCGAAGTTCTGTGATTCTGTGATCATAACATCTTCAAAACAACGAAACAGTGTTTGCCAATACTTCTATAATCAAAAAATCTGAACGATCTTATTAAGGAGAAGTATTTAATTTATAGTAGAAGGCAGCCACCAAATTTGAAGAAATCCTCACAAAAGCCAAATTCACTTCTTCAAAAGAAACATATATGGTTTCCAAATGTGACGATCCGCGCTGTGGAACTTGCGATTTCCTACAAATCGGAATATCAATCACATTTAAAAACGGAATGAATTTTAAAGTTCAATATAACATGAACTGTAAATCAAAGAACGTCATATATTGCATGACCTGCAGTGGTTGCGAAGAACATTACATTGGACAAACAGGAAATAAAATATCGGACCGTGCAAGAGTACATAAGCAGCATATACCGGACCCCTCCGTTCGGAATACTCCATGTAGCGAGCACTTTGACCAATGCGGCAAGGGATTGTTTATTATCTTTCCATTCTACAAAGTTACACAGGAAAATGATCAGTTACGGCGGGCCAAAGAACAATATTTCATTGACACATTTAAGCCTAAACTTAACAGATAATTATTCTGACTGCATATATGACTTTTAATATTGTTTTTATATTATAATTATTGATTGTTATTGTGTAAACATGTATCATTTATAGTGTCAAGTCTATTTATTTTGGCGCTTTCTTCGGACATTTTTTGCGCCAACGTTTGACGTTGTCTTTTAACTATGTCATAATAACGACGTTATTATGTCAAGTTGCTATTGTTATTGTCAATATTCAAAATCCACTGAATAGCCAAGAGGCGAAGCGCTATGGATTAAAATGTCATCTTCTACGAAATCTTAATTATTTTTTTTCTGTATTACTACCTATACCAAGGACTTCTTTAATTTATATATATATATATATATATATATATATATATATATATATATATATATATATATATATATATATATATATATATATATATATATATATATATATATATATAAAGCACAAAGAAATTCCGTAGGTCGAGAGTTCAACCCCGGGCAGGGGCGGAAGTGGGTATCCTTATAAAAAGTGAATTTCTTTGTGCTTCCTATATTAATATTTCTTCACTTAGGGCAGTTATGTTAGTTTAAGAGTTGTTTTAAAATGTGCTTTATACATGTATATATATATATATATATATATATATATATATATATATATATATATATATATATATATATATATATGACATAGTCGTATACGATACATTGTAAATGTGCTGTCTACTTTTTTTCCCGAGTGAAGTGACGTTTCATTAGAATTCAAGTCACCGAAATATTAATTCAATAACAATATTTTATCACTTTACCCATTGTGTTGATTTTCCCTCCTACCTCTATTCACCACATTTTGTGTTTTTCTTAAGCTCTACTCAATTTTTTGTTTAAAGTGTTTTTATAGGCTCTAGACACTTAAGACTTTTTCATGAATTGTATAGGCTCTAGTGAAATGTTAGGTGTGCTTTTGACCTCACCTGCTGCCATTCGTCGGGTTTTGTGTAAATACACCTATCCTAGTTGTTTTGATGCAAACTTTATAGATAATCAAATATGTGACGCACGTTTGTTCATATGTTACGGTAATCAACTAATTTTATCGTGACATCCATTTTGTTACACTACGGAAGCCAATTTAGGATCTATCAAAAATATTTTTGAATTCAATATAACGAATTGTTGAAATTCATTTTGATATACCGAAATTGTAAACAAATTAAATATTCACATTGTGAAGTCCATTTTGATACACTGGAACTGTAATTTAAATATTTACATTGTGAAATCCTTTTTGATATACTGGGGCTGTGATTTACAAAAGTATGCATGGAATGTAAAGATAACGGGCAGAAATCTTGCGCAAAATCCAATCAAGCAATAAATGTATGAGTACAGCAAACACAGACCTCTATAGATTTTTTTTTTTCAGATAAGGTCATTGTATACTGAAGATTCCTTATTTTTTGCGAGTACTTATTTTCGCGAAATGACCTCTGCATGAAAAGTCGGGTTTACTTTTACCTTAAATGCAATTCAAATGCTGCGGTTATTTAATGTTTAACTGCATAGTATAACATATTGTGGGATCGTAAACGTTAGAAAATAATTAGCATTTAATACGAGTTTAATAGAAAATTAAAAGAACAAATTTAATAAAGTTTGGAAAATTGTAAACTTACTAATACATTCAGATTTAAGTCTTCCGTAAACAAATGTTATACCTTTAGTATGTAAAATGTATAATTATTATTAAACATGCACATAAAATAAAGTTTTATGTTTATATTATATTGTTTGGTTAATAAAATTTAATGTAGAGTTTTACCTCATTATTTGTTCTTGTTTTATTCACACTTTACCTTGTAATACATCGCAAAACTGAATTATATACGGAAAATCGTAAACTTACTAATACGTTCAAATTTTACTCTTTCATAAACTAATATTATATCTCTTGTATATGTGATGAAAATATATGGATTAAACCTGAAATATCAAAGATTTATGGTTGTTTTAGATAAAATTTAATATAATTATTTCATCATTCACGATTCTTTTTTACTATATATATATATATATATATATATATATATATATATATATATATATATATATATATATATATATATATATATATATATATATATATATATATATGTGTGTGTGTGTGTGTGTGTGTGTGTGTGTGTGTGTGTGTGTCTGGCTTTATAATTGTGTTTTCTGCAATTATTTTACAATCACACACAAATCCACTTCTCATTCAATTTTATTACATATTATCTCAATGGTGTACAAACAATGAATTCTAACAAAGTATAAAATATTTCAGAATTTATGCCTAAATGACAGAATTTAAAATTTAAAAATTTACAATGTCAAATTAATGCTTTTATTTAAATTTTTACATACTAGTAGTAAGTACTAAAAATACTGAAGTAAATGAGAGAATTTTGAATTTTTCAAAACACTTTTAAATGGAATTCAAGTTTTAAATTACCCTGACAACAATGGGTCACCAAATAATTCATGTCCAAACAAATCAATAACAATAACTAAAAAAATAGAATTGTATGTAAAATTTAAATCTATTGGCAATAAATCAGAACAATAGGTCAAAAATGCAGTCTATCTGGACTCCAAAAGAATGCAAAATCTGCGATTGAAACTGCCCCTATAAAAACTACTGCATGGGTTTGTAAATTATACTAAAACTACACTTAATACATGTGATTTCAAAAAAATTTCTAATGTTTTCAATTATTGAAAAGTGCTTGGGCAAAAGAGAAAAGTACATTATGACCAGACAAATCAGTAAACATTTTGGAGACAAATGATTAAAAATTTTGGAATATATAAAGGAATTCATTTATTTAATTGACACAAACATTGCAAGGCAAACAGCAAATGATTGTGTATCAAGATCTAGAGGAATGGTACATTTATAACATTGAACATCCTTTGCTGTTTCATTTTTAAGAATGTCAATAAACAAAACAGTCAATAAAGAAAACAGGTAGATAGGTACAAGATTACTGTATTAAAAACTACATATATCCTATTAAAAGCAATTTCAGATTGGAATTCGAAAATGAAACATAAAATTACTTTTCAGTAAATATTCTTCTAGTCTTGATTTTGATAACGATATTTTCAGTAAATAATCTTCTAGTCTTTGCCGTAAAATTTCAAGAATAAGCTCCGAAACGTACATACAAAAAGGCCTGCACAAACATATGTACAAGTACATGTTACAAAATTTTTTAGCCTTACTCTTTAATCTTAATGCAAAAAATTCTGGTCTTAAACTCTTTACTTCAAATGAAAGGAAACAAATTAATTTCTTACTCTTGCAATATAATATACATAAAATCACTATTTACCCTATTTACTCAGAAATGTCTTTATCTGGTCTGTTTAGTCTATTTTTTACATCTAAGACAAACTAAGCCACTGACAGAGAAGCCTCACTCGCCCACAAGCAACAGCAAAAGGATCGGTCTTAGACACCACCTTTCTCTTACTCGGGTATCAAGATCTGCAACTTACTGCCATCAAAGCTCTTTCAGACTACCCTTGCATTGTCTCCTATTTCTTTTCACAATAATTGTCCATACACTAATTATTTAAGTCAAACTTGTACATAAATGTAATTTATAAATCAAGATGAAAAATGTATGTGCATGTGTACTATACAAAATAAGCGAATCGATCTTCAAACAATAAAAAATATGACTGAGTTTTAATCTGTAATCAAGCATCAGAAAACACTTTAACTGTCAAAAATACAACACTAGGTATATTTTTCTTATATAACATTTGAATGTGTCAATTCAAGTTAAGTAAAAAAAGCATCACAATTATGCAAAACAGTAGACTTAGATATTATTTCTAATAGCCCATTTCTGTTCAATCGCTACATCATTAGGTTTGTCTCTTTTGGATTCCTTATTTATCCTAATTCTTCTGATGCTCTGCCTTTTAGACAGCTTTGATTTGTGAGTGGCACTTTTGGTGTCTAGTTCTTCGAATACCTTTTAACATTCATCAGAACGCCACTTTCTTTGGTACATCACCATTCTTTGCTTTAATGGAATCAGCTTTTCCAATCGGCGTTTCTTCGTCTTGTATGGATTGAAAGTATATGTGTATTGCACCTAAAATATGACATTGCAGCAAAAATTAGCAAAAGTTAAGAATGTCTGAAATCTTTAGTAAGATACACTATTTAATAAATGATTATTAAGATTCTTTTTTCAAAACTTGAGATTACAATCACACATATATCAAATATTCAAGGTTGTAAAGTAAACCCACAGCTAGAGTAACATATACCCTTTATTGACTGTGAGCAAATTAACATTTACATTTATTTAATTCTAGACATTAACAATGAAAAAATATAATTATAAAAAATTTTGAGCTCTGTGTCCAAGTCTTTTTGAATTTTGCACTTGGTTGATCTCTTTCAGAAGTTAACAATTCTTTTCTTCCACTATCATCATATGAGCAATGTTTGAATTTTTGGTTTGCAAATCAAATAAAAAATTACATGATTAAATTAAAGTATTTTTATATAAATGATACCATCATTCACCAGATGTATTAAATATCATACAATTATGGACTCTTTTGGTGTTGAATGTGGTTTGATATTCACCACTCACCAGAAAAATATCAATATTGACTGAGACGAAGCCGAGGTCAATACTGATATTTTTCTGGTGATTAAAAAAACTATATTCAACACCATAAGAGTCCATAATTATTGTTTTGTTATATAGTCCAGATTTGAATAAATAAGATATTGAAGGCTGCATGACGACACCATTTTCATTTAAGAACTTCCGTCATTGAAAATAGAAAAAAATGTTCAGATTACAATTTGTAACTTCCGTGTTTTCCTTTCCGAGTTACGCTATGTGGAATATGTCCAAATAATCCTGCGATAGGTTTAATGTATAACATTTTTCCTGCTCAGATACACAGCTGGCTGCGGCCGTTGCAACCATTGTTTACAATGTTGTTTGAGGTGTTGATTGTGACGTCACAATGCCGCTGCATGCGCACTGACCCTCCGGTAAATAAGGCCTCAAATCCGGTGATTATGTAGTGTTATGAACTGTTTGCGCTTGTATAGATTATGTAAGGACTTTAAATAGACTATATAATAATAAAGTATGTTTAACATACATTTAAATATTATTATATAAACTTTACATTTTTTATTCTAGATTAAAGATATGCTTTATACTGACCTCTAACAAATGCTCAGCAAGCTAGATAGATGCCTACGACGTACTGGCATATATGTTCAGTCATTCTTTGTTTCCATCTGATGAAGGTCTGCAACACATGATCTCATCATATCAAATTACCTGAATTCCATTTAAAGAACAGTACTATAAATTTTATTCCACAGAAAATATTCTACATAATCCATAAACTAATACTTTTACCTTTAACATAACCATTCCAGCATTTGAAATTGAATGTGATCCAAAAATAAATTACTAAGTAATGATATATGCATGTTCTATATCAACATTTCTTATCCACTAGATGGCTATTTCTATCATAGCTTAATTGTTGGTAGATTGTTTATTTTCTCTTATCTTTCAGTAAAAATTTAATAAATACTTCAAACCAACAAAGGATCCAAAGGCCACATCACTCACCTGAGCAACCATGGCCATAACTTTGACCAAAACAAAAAAAGGGGGGAGGGGGGGGGTGGGTCAGGAGCACCTCATGGGGTCATATGTCTAGATCTTTATAACACTTGAAATGCCACACAAGTTGTGTGGTGTATCAAGTGTTTTTAAGATCTGACAATTGCAAGGAACAAGAATATATGATTTAGTGTAGCCCCACCCTACTTTCGGGTGATCAGCATGTCATAGTACAATTTTCATATGATATGTATTCATATCAATACACAATATTTAAGGTGCCAAGTAGAGTTTGGTCATCTGATATCCTGTTCAACTATGTCTGACACACATGTACAGATATTTAATCACATATCATGGAAAACAATAAGTTACGATGATTTGAACAAACTAAAAGCTACTTTAATTGAGGATGCTTCAACATAAGTTTCAATTTTTCTGGATAAATGATTCAAGATTTTCTTTTAAATTGCCAATACATTTTCATTACATTTGAATCATCTCCCCTTGAAAATGTTACTAGTTTTTTTATGGTTAGATAGAAAGACATTTTCATTAAATTTAAATCATCTCCCCTTGAAAATGTTACTAGTTTTTTTATGGTTAGATAGAAAGACAGATGGAAGACGACAAAATGTGATCAGGAAAACTCGCTTAAGCTTTCAGCTCTTGTGAGCTTAAAAGTACATGTTATTAATTTTTTTCTTACTTCAACGTTTGGTTTCCACCATCAGATTTCAGTTTCCATTCAAGCTTTTGTGAATTGTCATGGGGATATCCATCATGCGCAGAAGTCTGAAAGTATACATTCACAGATTAACATATCAATTACAAATAAAACATCCTGATTATGCCTTTAAATGAAATCATTTGAGCCCAGACACAATGATAGTACATCATTTAGCTTTATCATAATACATATTGCTTTATTATAATTGCAGCTTTAACAAAACAAGAAATCTGTGAGCCAATCATGAATGCTCAATATCGATATAACCCCCCAACCCACCCACCCCCTTTTGATGTGAATACACAAGTCAGTTAAAAATAACTGTGCTATCATTATGATCATTTGACAAGAAGTTGACATAACATTTAAACAAAAATGAATCCCAGTAATGTATTCCAGAGTTAGTTACGATACTTGTACAGGTCAGTATACATTATTACAATGTATATGGGAATAACATATATACATATACTGCAAAACTCCTTTATAGCAAATTTCAAGGGACCAAAGAAAGATCTTCGCTATAATCTTAATTCATTATATGTTTAATATAGTGAATTCATAAGAAATCCTTTACCGAATTTGTTATAAAACAGTCAGCTGACAGTACTTCAAACTATTGTATGTTATATAATCGATATCACCCTCAGTTACAAAAATTTTCAATACAACCTTTTCACTTCCTTAGATGCACAATTAAAGAATTTAGTGTACAATATTTAGATTTGAACATTTAAATATTATCTAACCAATGCATTTGAAATGTCAGAGAATAATGAAACCTGCCATATATATTCATCCTTTAGCTTCATAATCATATCCATGCTACCAGATACATCTGTAACAAATTAAAAATAGAACCGATGAAATAAAGATTTTATTTCCAGAACAATTTTTTTTAATTGTGGCAAATATATATGATTTACATACATGGTGACTCACAAACATATGGTGTATTTATTGATGACTCGGGTGTCCACAACTCAAATTTATTGTCAACATGAACAATATCATTAAAGGATCCATTAAATTTCTGAGTTAACAATGCTAATGTAGTGTCATCTGCATCTTCATCGAACTCCTCATCATGATCTAAAAATCTTATGTATATTTAATGAAATTTGTAATGAAAAATATTTGTTATACTTAAATGAAAAAAAATGCATTAAAATATCTTAAAATTACTTCATTATAGCCATAAATTTGTTATATATAGCCATGTTCTTTACATACAGCGATTTTCTATAGGTTTATATAAGGACTTTGCTGAACATGAATAAAAGTTCGCTATCTGTATCTATGTTTGTTAAATTTGAGTTTTGCTGTATATAGGAAATAGAATTTCAAGCATCTGCAATTAGCAGTTGCTGAGAACTGTGACGGAAATTCATTATGGACAAAAACATGCATGCACAGATAGACAGACAAAAACGGTATTATACTGCCCTCTCATTCTGAAGGGACCTAGCCGGAGTACAATTATTCGGCCTATAAAAAATGTTTTGTTTGGTAATGAATTCTAGCATTCTTTTAATTTCAGCTATAGAAATAATGAAATAAAACTTTTGCACATTAATTCTATTTGAGTAATACAGTACATTTGTGTATCTCTATAATCGCAAAACCCCCTTACTCCTTCACTTTCGGGAAACTGTGAGCTGTTAGTAAACAAATGCGATTGTGATGTCATTTTCTACATGCAGAAAAACTACAAAATCAAATGCCGAGAAATTAGTACAGTCAAGTTCAAAAATGCGATAAAAAAATATTAAATAACAATTACATTTGATCTATTGTATCTATCATATTTTATGTGAAATCAGCGAATACTTTTTCCTTTATCAGTGAGTGTTTATGCACTATTCCATGCGCTATTCCTCCGACATGTGCGTTAATAGCGAGTGCAGCGAGGCGGCGCAAAGCACCGCTCACGTAGCGAGCTCCATAGACAACGTGTACGAACGGAGGAAATTCGGGTTGAAATCTGCACATTGTTCAAAGAAATTTTTATCGTCCCACATGAAAATATTCCATACTCCCAATAATCCTTTGCGGTGCATAGCAACATGGTGGCATAAGCATAGCAACAACTTACTTGATAAAATTAATAAATAACGAATTAATTCAATTTCTATGTGCCGTAATTACCCACAAAACTATCGCTTGCGTCCTTGGTAAACACGACTTTGTATGTGATGTCATATTTTTGTCACTTCACTGACTCGGGTATTTCCAATTTTGTCGGAAATATCCGAGAAGTGTAATAAGCAGAATATAAAACGACATTTGAGATGTGTTGAGTTTAAGAAAATGAACTGCGCTCGCCCTAACGGTTTCACCGTCGGACATATTATGCTCATTTTTACATGTCAGTCATTTTTATGAAGGTTTTAGCCAAAGGATTATTATGACATACCATATTGAATAGTTATACGGCTAAAAATATTTTATTTTTCGTCTCAAATTGCACCAATATGCTACGTTGGATATAACATAGTGTGACGTTCATTATATATACGAGTAATCTATAGATATTGAAGGTCATCATGGTCATGTTGCACGTTTTTTAGTGTTGATGTAGCTGCAGAACTGTAGCTCTCCGAAAAAACATATATTGACAGACCGGAGACTGGTCGTCCATCCCAATTGTTTCAGACCAGCGAGCTAGATTTTGCAGCTAGTGTTGATGTACATGTAAATAATGACTTTTTCTCCATCTTTTTTTCTTAAACAGTATGTTTACCTGCTTGAGCATGTTGAGGTGCCCTTTTCTTCCCTTTCTAAAATGTCTTGCATTTTCCCCAATAATTTCATCGATGTATGAATCCGATGGTTCTGGTGAATCGAAACTATTCCATAAGCATGATAAGGATCCATCCTCCTCACTAATTTCCGATACTTGGCCTGTCCGACATGTTTGGTGCTGTTTGGCGGGCTCGGAATATTCGCGATGCTGCTGCCTGATTTTGATTGGCTAATTTATAATTATGTATCGCGTGCGCGTAGAGGGAAAAATCATTTTACATTAGATAGGCCTATTTGATTTTTTTATTATTATTTCTTAAACTTTAAAAGGAAAGAAAATTAAAAAAAAAAAATTGATTTAAATTTTTTGGAAGGGCAGATAACTCTATTATAAAAAAAAAAAAAAAAAAAAAAAAAAACTGAGCCTGAGGTGTAAATGACATATTGATGATTTTTTCCCCTAATATTTAATTAGATATGTTAAGTAAATTAGATTTAAGTCGTCTTTAAGAATTTTAAATATATGAGCATTTATAGATAAATACAATAGTAAATAACAATCTATGATTATTAAGAGTGTAGCACAGTCCAATTTTTACAAAATTCGATATTTGCAAATACAGCAGCGATCACAGTATAAAGTAAAATCTCTTTCGAATTAAATCTCTCTCTCTCTCTCTCTCTCTCTCTCTCTCTCTCTCTCTCATGATATTCTCCTGAATCAAACGTTATATCAAAAATTCAAATATCTTTATTCATTAGGTTCATAATAAAATTGTTGAAAAATTCAGGGTGGGGCACCTGTTTTTAAAGTATGTTCTACCAATATTTTTGATGACAGTGGTCTAATCGCCAGAGTACTTGAATAAGTAGTAAGTCTTGCGTCATTCTCGAATTAATTTTTGTACGTTCAAAGATCTGATTGAATTAATATTTTATGCAATGCGTTAAGTAAAGGCTGAGAGAGAGAGAGAGAGAGAGAGAGAGAGAGAGAGAGAGAGAGAGATGATCCTTTGAAACTGGACAATTTTGGCTACCAAACGGGATCGAGTAGGTTTTAGAATAAACAGCATCAAAGTAAACAGAACAATTTGATCCAGTTTCATAATACATTTTTTTCGACAAATCTAGATCTAGTACTACTGTACTAATAATATACATTGTCAATATTAAATTATTTCAGAGTTAATAAAAAGCCAAACAAAAGCGATATATATATAGGATGCTTTAATGTAAATGTTTTGTCTTTTTGCAATAATAAATATGTAAACAATATTTATTCTGTATAAAATAAAAAAAAATATTGACACATTATTTATCACATATATAAAATACCAAAAACATACTTAAACTTAAAGTATAAGCGGATTTACTTTTACATGTCGATTTTCATAAACGAAACGTATAATTTCTTATATTAAACTATATTATTCTCGATGTTTTTTGCATTAAATCTAATTATGTAGTAAAAATGTAGTAAATTATATCACAATATATTTTATATATAATGTAACGTTATACATAAATTAAATTCAAAACAAGAAATTTAATTAAGTAAACAAATTTATTAAATCATATTAAACGCAACTTTTCATGCAGTGGACTCTTTGACGTCATATCGCGAGAACAATAACTCGCGAGTGGACGGTTGATCAAGAGATTTTACATTGATTTCAGCCCCATAAAAATAAAAGCGAGTACATTTATTTCGCGAGTGGTGCTTCTCGCGTAATTACGCAATAATAATTCCTCGCGTAGATTTAGGAATCTACAGTACGTTTCGACTATAAAACACATATTTAAACAAGCTTCTTGAAAGCCTTGTATCACTAAGTTATCTATCAATAGCCTGATTCTTTTTAGAAATTGATCGTGAACAGAACATGTTCTTGCGTATCGAATCCACTGGGATTTATAAATCAAATATGCAGGTGATAATGGTATATTGCTACATAAAGGAAGCTGACGATAGAAAAATTGAAATCATTACATTTATCATGAAGTGAAGTTGTTTGTGTGCGAGTAATATCTTTTTCTAGATATCTATGTGTTTATGATATGATTTGATCAGAATAATATGTTGAAGGTGCGACCATTAGGGCGAGAACAGTTACCTATTCAGTTTTAATTTAGATCGGATTCTTCTAAACGCACGTGACATTTAATACGTCTAGATAATAACGTCACATGACGTCGTATGTAAGTTGCATTACCAAAAACGAAGTCTGAACATTGCTAGTTTTAAGGGGATGAAGGGCACATGGTCACATGACTCTGTTTAACTACGTCATAGTCTCCGTTTATGTAAGTGCAAAACGTGTAAAACATCATTTCTTGTATAATTTTTTGCCAATTTTTTTCTTTAATTGACATCTAATAGCGAGCGCAGCTAGCTCTAAAGACAACGCCTGGGCGAAGAGAAAATTCGGAATTAAACATTGATCCAAACGAGTTTTTTTTTTTCTGCAGTAACTTTTAGACCAACAATGCATCGCTTGTTGAAGATACGTTCTCGCGAGAATAACAACAAAAGTTTAACAAAAATAAACTTGCCTTAATCTAATGGATATATTGGAGATAAATAGTAGATAAAACGTTCTTGTTAAAGTCACAATGTTCAGGCTTCGGTTTGGTAATGCAACTTAAATACGACGTCATGTGACGTCAGAATATAGAACGCACCAAATGTCACGTGCAGTTTGACGATCGAGTCCGATCTAAATTATCTGCGCTCGCCCTAACGGTCACACCGTCAACATATTATTTAAAAAAAAAAAATGAAAAGTTTAACATTCTTGTATACGTTAGCTGCGCTCGCTATTATCATATTTTGTTCAATAAACAACAAACGATTTTCTTTCTAATTTTGATGAATGAGGAGGCATAAGGTTTGTTAATTTCTTACCCAAGATTACGCTTAATCACATTTTCGTGCATTACATTGAAGAAAAACAAAATAGGCGTCATATGTTTCAAAGAATTTCGACTAGACAAAAATGTGTGAAACTCCTACTTGTGTCGTAAAATACAAATTAGCTGAGTACATTTATTTATAAGACATTCATTCTTAGCATTTTCATCTGCACATTTTGCATACTTTTATAAATTTTGTAATTGTCAAAATTATTATAAATTTTACTCCAGGAAATATGGCTGGTACATATTCATGCATGCACATCATTACTTTTTACTCTGGTCATTCTTGTTGAACTTGTAATCTATTTAATCTCTACAGAACATGCTGCTTGGTATCAAACTAAATAAAATATTTCTAATCTGTTAGAAAACAAATTATGATATAATTTGTTTGTATTAATTTTACACATTCTTATGTTGAGCAAATTTAATATCTATTATGAAATGCACATTTTCATAGAATTGCTTTACGGTTTTTTCCCTTAAAACCTACCCCTCCCTTCTCTTTTGCCACCATTAAATGCAAAATTATTAATGCTGTTACAAACAGCATGAATTGCTGTTAATTTATGTAAGTAATGAGAACACTGTAGATTAATTTTTGAACATTTTACCAAGCGGTATCAGCTTGAAAATGTAACGCGTTACACGCATAAGATATCATATATTTGCGCTATACAAGATTAAATTTTGCCTATAATTTATTAAAATATTATTTTCTGACTGGAATCCGGTAGTTCTATTCAACAGCTTTCGATTCATACCAAAATAACCTATATAGCGAACATTGTATTGAAGATATTGATAAGTTTTATAGGTGTTGTATTAAATTTATAAAATAACACCAACATCGCGCACGTCTTCGCGTTTACTATCTACGATATGTTACATGTAGTAAAACCGCTACCTGTATCTTGAAATCAGGGTACTCATTATGTAGCCTTCATCGTCTTCATGATTTCTCAAGATTGGTCTTGGTTATTTCAGCTATTGCTGACTCTCATTATTTGTCTTCAACTCTCCGCAATCGTTGGCCACGGTCTCAACTAAGTGGATTGATTAATTTCAATTATTAGGACGAATGTAATATATCCCACCGAAGCATATATCAAAGCAGTTATGCGCAGAGTTTCTCGTAAATCTGTATTTCTAGGTTCTGATAATTAGAAAATACTGCTTAATCGTGATATTGCCTGATCTGCCAGAGCTATTGATGCAGGTGCTCTTTGTCTAAATTCTTTTACTTATGCAATGAATTGTAATGAAATGTTTCCTCGGTAGAATTTTCTTCTATGAGGATATAATGAATTTCCTTTAGTACTAACTAGGAAAAATTTGTAAGTCACCTAATACACACTGTGCTTGACGACGTAATGATACCGCTGAAACTAGACATTTTGCTTCTTCTGTCCAGCCTTTTACTATAGCGCAGACCCGAAATACAGTTTGAAGTCAATTTGATCCGTCATATGTAGCAGGTGTGATCGATTATATGATCTTTTTTTTAGTGTTTTCTGTCCCACTAGATGTCTTTTGTTGTTTTGTAATCAAATAGATGCCAATTCACTGTCGTAAATCTGAGGGCCAGAACTTGATGTACATCTTCTCGGTACACCCATGCACCATACTCGTCAAATAACTTTTCATCTGATATACGGGGCAGTCGATTATCAAACGTAATTTAATTTGTATTATTTTCTGTCCCTTGGAAATGGTTTGTATTCTCCTCCATCATAGAATTATCTCTAGACTTTTGTCGTCAATATCAATAAAAACGTGGATTATCTCTGCTGGTGATGCTATATTGTACCGTATTTACATTAAACACAGGCGTCGTACCTGGTCAATTCCAGGGTTTGGGGTGTTCAACATTAAATGCTTGGAAATAATTGGTCTGATTTTAGTGGACTGCCAAAATATACATATATGTCCTAACCTTATCTAGGTAAAATAGATTCAACTATTAAATCACCATAAAAATCAGAGGCAGCAACAATTATTTAACGGGTAGTCCTAACCTAACACTAAAATAAGAGCCCAGTAACCCTCAGATTATCGCATATACTGTAGGATGCCTTATTCATGACGGACAGTATATGTGATATCCCTTCAACCATTACACTCACTGTAAGATGCCTTATTCAGGACGGACAAGAGTATAGCAGCCTGGACAGACTGGTCAGACAATGCAGACAATATAACATACTATATGGCTAGCCTCTTTACTAGAGGATAACCTCTTCGTAGCAGGCCTTATTACTGGTTTGGCAAACCTCAAATGACCTTCCAAATTCACTCTCAAACTGTACCAAGAGGTCCAATAGCCTTAACGGTCACCTGAGTATGATGCAACAATTTAAAGGATGCATAGAGTATAAAATGAACTGAAAGGTGAAGCTTTGTTGCCCAAAAGCAAGAGAAGATTTTTAAATAAATAATGCATTTTTACTACAGATTCACTATATTATCAATAGAGCCCCCCCCCCCCCCCCCCGAAACACCAGTGCTTCTGACCCTGGGACCATATGTTTGCTCATCATAACTAATCACTCTGTTTATCTGCTTAACACTAAGGAGCAAACAGGATTATTTAATAGAATTAATGCATTTTCACTAAATTATCAAGAGCCCCACCCTCACACCAGCACATCTGACCCAGTCATTGATTTTAATTTTTTAAGTCATTGATTTAATGTTAAAATAAGGTGTTCTACAAATGTAAACAGTAGTCTTTCGTATGCAAGTGAAATCTGGTGTTTTCATATAGCACCAGACATTTAAAAGGTACATCTTACTTTCTGTGAAAAAAAAATATTAGGAGTATTTAAAAGTTCTAACAAGAACTTAGTGTGAAACTCGAAACCACAGACGACCTTTGGTGTAAAATGACGATAATAATGATTTAAAAAAAAGGAAAAGAAATGGTGTCATATCCACATCTAATGATGGAGTTAGTTAATGTACATTGTAAATTACTTTGATTTGCATACTTTTGCCGACATGGAAAGTGGAAATGTTGGCATGACTCTAAATTTTGAGCACGTCAATGACACATAAATTTAACCATTAATGACCTAGCCCTAAAATTGAAACTGTTGATTATAAATATAAATCTAATTAAGTGATATTTAGTTGATATTTAAGTCTTTAACGAGGCCGAGTCTAATTATTTCCACCATAGATATTTTAATAAATTATCTTGAATGAATTTTTACTATTATATCAATTACTTTAAGATAAAAAAATCAGATGTTTACCATCCCGATTTCATTGGGGGGGGGGGGGGGGGCATCTCAAAAGTTGTCAAATTTTACTATTGAACCCTATGGAAATTTGATAGAAAAGCGCCAAATTTGCACATTTTCTCCATGTTTTTTGTATTTCTGCCCTAGGGATTTCCTTTTCAGTCAAATACATGAAAGTTATTATAAAAAGTCACCAAATCGTGAAATTTCAAAAAAAGTTTACCATCTGGTTTGGTCTAGGAATTATTAAAAAGTTTTTTTTTCAATACCCAATACCTCTAAATGTGCCAAATTGCGGCATACATTTTGTATATAACGGCGCAGATAAATTATTTTGGTAACAAATAACAATGTTTCTTTAAATGGTCTGTCAACATTTTTTAATAAAATGTCCAAGGACGTCTTGAAAACTCAAGCGAGTCATGCGTCATTCTTCAGCGGCATGCATTATAATTGCTTAGAGAACCGGAAAACAATGACGTCGTGAAAGCCATTTCAGCATTTATTTCTATTCATTGTCTTAAAATCACCCATAAAGGTACAGATGATGTAATATAATGTTAATTTTGTATCAAAATTACAATACTTAGGAAAAGTGTTATGTTGCACCTACGATTGCATGAAATTAAAAAGCTGCGCAAAGTCATGCGCACTCGAATTAGACTCGGCGTCGTTAAGTCAAATGTTGATTGACTTTTTTTCATACTTATTCTTAGGCCAGTATTTACACAATGGATTGTCGATGGATTTTTCCGTTATTTCCCGATCCTGACAAAGAGCACACGGCAGGTGTGCCCGGTCGGCAGGGGATGATCACTCCTCCATGGCACCTGATCCCAACTCTGATGTCTTAGATGTCCGTGTATGCTCTGCTCCTATTTTGTTATGTTTAATGGAATTTTGAGCTCAAATACTGTTCGTTATCTCCACATATTTCATATTTTAATCTGTACAATAAGGATTTCAGGATGGTATGGCCTTAATTTTGATATTTGTATATTTCTTGACAGAAAGGAATGATTATTATCGAAAAAAAAGAAAATATAACTAGCATCTATATATTAAGTATATATTCGGTTTGTTTTCGCGAATGAAGAATTTGAAGTTTTTGCTGCTTTCTTCTGATCAACATCTCCGAAAGGAAAAGATCATTGCCTCCTGAAATAGTTCCATCCCATACATGATCCCTATGCCCTTCAAAAAAGGAGCATTTAGATGCACAAGAGTACAATGATTGTACCACCATCCAGATCTACACTGAGCAGCACATCCGTTTTCGTTGTCATGGTCGAATGTGTAAAAGGGATAGTTGACGACCGGATGCCATGATCTGAATGCATCACCTAGTAGGAAGAAATCCAAGAATATAACCATTTAAATGTAATTGAAGAATAAACTGCACTTTTAAATTTGATATTTTAGAATGAAAAGGCATAAGGAATAAGAATACTTTATTTTGAATGACGTTAAAACTATCCTTAAGACTTAACATAACTTTTTATTATGACAAGAAAATAAATGAAAAGAAGGAAGAAAACGCTATATACCAATGCTTCCTGATTTTTCCCCCAAGGAGAGTCTGTAACCATCAGCTTCATTGGAGATGGAAAAAAAAACAGAATATTGAACTTCGAATGACACATGTTGTGTATTTTGAAATCTGATATACAGTGAGTTGCTATATTTTATGGTCAGTTTATGAATGGCGTCGTTTCCTGAATAAGAATTGATCTCAATTAACTTTTCTCGTAATTTAAATGACGATGTATACCCTAATCCATTCATTGCGTTATTCTGCCAAAAAGGTTGGCTTATTATATAATACTAATCTATTATATCATACTAATTTGCATCGATGCACTACAAAATTGTTGTTATTGAAAATCAAATGACCGCATATCATACGTCTAATTCTAAATTACTAAGAATGTGCAATTATATTAATTTATTATTCAATATTTCTTCATAGTTAATCATTTAATTAATAATTCATCCCTAAAATATGCATTTAAAGGATATGAAAAATGCTTGTTATAGCAAATAAAACTTCTCTCATCTTGTCAGGTAGACATTTTAAAATGAATTTACTTTTGAATGCATATTGTACTTTTGCACGCGTTTCTAACACGCATCTTGCGAAAAACTTGCACTTTTCTTAAGCTATCTTTTTAAAATAACATGGACTTTTTTTAAAAAAGCTGCATATACATGTATATAGAAATAAAAATATTCAATATATTTATATAACCTGTTGCCATAGAATGGTAAAGAATCTCTAAATCAGCTCAAAATTATCAAAATTACTACATACAGATCTAGAAATTAACATAAAATTCACATACTTTTAGAAAACAGTATTTTTAGATGTTACAATTACATATGGCTTACCGAGCCAATAATTTCCTCGAACATCCCCAAAACTTCGCTTGTATTCACTCCAAGTGGTTTTGAAATTTATCCTTGAATATCCCCGATTCCTGTGCTGAATGACCTAAAATGTGATTTTTCTTTTCTTACAAAAGAATATAGTCCCTAAAGAATTTTGTCTTTTTACGAATAACGTTAGAATGTTTTTTTTTATTAAAATATATCTATCCTAATAATGCAAACTTTTTTTAACATGCAAACATTTGTAAATTGTTTAACAGTGAAAGACACTGGTAAAGCATAAAGTGTAAAACCGTACCGTCCAGCCCCCTCCATATGCATCCATATCACACAAAACTGGAACAGATTCTTGGCTTTTGTCAGTAGGACATATTTCATAAACACCTGTCTTCTTTTGTCCACTATTATAGATGTCGAAACAATCAAAATGAAAGGCGCAACCTATTTTTAGTATATATATATATATATATATATATATATATATATATATATATATATATATATATATATATATATATATATATATATATATATATATATATATATATATATATATATATATATATATATATATATATATATAATTTGTCAGTTTTAAAACACACAGGTACATGTATCTGAAAAAAAGGTTATTCACTAAGTAAGTTAGTATCGTTCACGTATTATTGTAGTAATGGTTAAAATTGGCTGAAAGTCGATAAAGACTTCAGAATTTGTAAAGTGTGATTAACACAACGCCTCTGATCTACCTGCTATATGTATGTCGTTATATATTTTTGGTACATGTAAATGTAATTATACCCACACTTTCTAAAGAAAGTTCGGGTATATTGTTGTTACTCATGTCTGTCCGTCCGTCCGTCCGTCCGTCTGTCACACTCTTATTTCTCAAACTCCTCTTACATTTTACACAGTAGCCTAATCATCTTTTGGGAGGTGTTTGGTGGTGTCATGTAGATGTGCAGTAAAGTTTCAAAATTTTCATGTTCACCCTGGGGGTCAAATGGGGGTCGAAAAATGACGTTTCTTATGCAAAAAGCCCCCGGTTCCCTGAACTCCTCTTACATTTTACACAGTAACCTTATCATCTTTTGGGAGGTGGTTGGTGGTGTCCTGTAGATGTGCAGTAAGGTTTCGGAATTTTCATTTTCACCCTGGGGGTCAAATGGGGGTCGAAAAATGACGTTTTTTATGCAAAAAGACCCTGGTTCCCTGAACTTCTCTTAAATTTTACACAGTAGCCTAATCGTCTTTTGGGAGATGGTTGGTGGTGTCCTGTAGATGTGCAGTAAGGTTTCGGAATTTTCATTTTCACCCTAGGGGTCAAATGGGGGTCGAAAAATGACGTTTTTTATGCAAAAAGCCCCTTGTTCCCTGAACTCCTCTTACATTTTACACAGTAGCCTAATCATCTTTTGGGGGAAGGTTAGTGGTGTCCTGCAGATGTGCAGTAAGGTTTCGGAATTTTCATTTTCACCCTGGGGGTCAAATGAGGGTCGAAAAATGACGTTTTCTATGCAAAAAGCCCCTGGTTCCCAGAACTCCTCTTACATTTTACACAGTAGCCTAATCCTCTTTTGGGAGATGGTTGGTGGTGTCCTGTAGATGTGCAGTAAGGTTTCGGAATTTTCATTTTCACCCTGGGGGTCAAATGGGGGTCGAAAAATGTTTTTTATGCAAAAAGCCCCTGGTTCCCTGAACTCCTCTTACATTTTACACAGTTACTAAGCCTAATCGTCTTTTGGGAGATGGTTGGTGGTGTCATGTAGATGTGCAGTAAGGTTTTGGAATTTTCATTTTCACGATGGGGTCAAATAGGGGTTGAAAAATAACTTTTTTTTATGCAAAAAGCCCCTGGTTCCCAGAACTCCTCTTACATTTTACACAGTAGCCTAATCATCTTTTGGGAGATGGTTGGTGGTGTCCTGTAGATGTGCAGTAAGGTTTCGGAATTCTTATTTTCCCCCTGGGGGTCAAATGGGGGTCAATTTAAAAAAAAAAAAAAAATATTTAACATGTTTAAACATCCTGGTTCCCAGAACTTCCCTTATATTTTATGCACTAGCCTTAAATCATGATCATTTGGAAGATGATTGATTTTGTCCTGTGGATGTGTAAAATGGTTTTAAAATTTGCATTTCCATGTGGATAGCAAATAGGGGCAGGAAAAAAATGGCCTCTCCCTAACCCATGGGGTCATGATTTGTACAAACTTGAATCTACACTTCTTGGGAATGTTTCCATATTAATCATGCTTTTGTTGTTCTTAAAAAGAAGAATTTTGAAGATATTTTTTCCTTTTAAATCTCTATAAAACTTTGATCCCTTATTGTGGCCTGACCCTATCCTCGGAGGTCATGATTTGAAAACTAGAAATATGTCCATAGGACATAAATGCCCCGCCGAATGTATATTACTAATGAAACATGAAAATTTGTATGAGTGTATGAAGTTTGATGAGAATATCTTGAACAGTTTCTTTAAAATTGAAACTAAAATCTAAAAAAAATGGATATAGATGAAAAATTCTCACAAAATTATCTATAAGTGCATTGTTTCTTTAAAACTAAGCAAAATACAAATTAAAGAGAAGGGAGGTCAAGGTCACAGGAAAGTGCAAGGTGAAAAGTTTTCGATGCAGTGGAAGAGCTCTCACTAATACATATCAGCATATTAGGTTTGATAAAAATATCTTGAATGATTTATTTAAAACTGAGCTTAACACTTATTTGAGAAAAGAGAGGTCAAGGTCAACGGAAAGGTTGAGGTCAAAATGTTGATGCAGTTGAAAAACTTATATCAGTATGTATTTACTATTAGCATAGAAGTTCAACAAAAATATCAGAAATGGTTTATTTAAAATGTAGATAAACACTAACTTAAAAAAGTGAGGTCAAAGTCAAAGGAAAGTCAAGGTCAAAAAAGTTGATGCAATTGATATCTCTCAGCAGTATATATCAGCATATGAAGTTTGATAAATATATCTTGAATTGTTTATTCAAAACTGATCTAGACACTAATTTAAGAAAAGTAAGGTCAAGGTCAAAGGAAAATTCAAGGTCAAAAATTTTGATGCAGTTGAAAAGCTTACATCAGTATGTATCAGCATATGACGTTTTATTGAAGTCGGACATGACAAACACTATATGCCTCGGCAATATTCATGGCAGGGCATAAAAAACTTGAATCTACACTACCGGTATATGAGGATGTTTCCATATCAAAATGACTAACAAGCAAATTCAAAGAATTGTGGTCCCCTGCTTTCCGTGTCCTAGTGGATGGGATGCCATTATTTATGACATATTGTTTCAAATATGCACGCCCTATCATATGTCATTCAAAAGTAATCACCAAAGTTAAAATTTTTGAAAATTAGGTAAAATATCAAGGTCAAGGGGTAAAAAAATCATAGCATGCTTGGAAACATCTTGTTACAGGTAATGTACCTATCAAATATAAAAGTCCTATCTCTTCTCAGTCAAAAGTTATAAGGAAATATAACATTTTTGAAAAGTAGGTTAAACTTCAAGGTCAATGTCACAGAGTCAAAAGTCATGATATATTTAGAAAGGTCTTGTCACAGGTAATATACATGCATAATATGAACGCCCTATCTTTTCTCTTTCAAAATGATCATTTAAAATAATGTTAATTTTTTTGAAAAGTAGGTCAAACTTCAAGGTCAAGGTCATGGGTTCAAAAATCATGGTATGTTTAGAAAGTTCTTGTAAGTAATATACATGTGAAATATGAAAGCCCTATCTCTTATTATTCAGAAGTTATGACCAAGGTTAAATTTATTGCGACAGACGGACAGACTGACAGACAAATGAGATTTAATGTCCTATAGGTCCCTTTTGCGAAAACGGACGACAATAATGCCCTTGCTGTTCATGAGAAGAAGATTTATGATGGAAAAAATCCCCTGCATTTTTCTATGTAAATCATTGGATCCCCATATGTGGCCCCACCCTACCCCAGTGGGTCATAATTTTAACAAATTTGAAGCTACACTAAGTCTATGTAAAGAAAGTTTCAACTTTTTGGGCCCAGTCAGTGGTTCTTGATAAGACTTTTTTAAAATGATCATACCACCAAATTTTCACTAATTCTTGATTATCCCCCCTTGAAAGAGGGTGTGACCCTTCACTTGAACAAACTTGAATCCCCTTTACCCGAAGATGCTTTGTAGCAGGGTTGGTCGAAATTGGCCCAGCGGTTCTAGTGAAGAAGACAAAAATGTTAAAAGTTTACAGGCGGACAGATGGATGACAAACAAAATGTGATCAGAAAACCAGAAAAACTCAAGTGAGCTAAAAACTGATGATCACAAGTACTTGGAAAGAGTTACAGTATTTGAAAAGCCGTTTTTTTTCATGCATTGTTTTCAGAATCTGAAAAGGTATGACTTGTATCCATGTTGAAAAAAACTTCACATTTCAGAAAACAGTATGATTAAAAATAGTTAATCAAGGTGCTTTGAGTAGCAAAATAAGCTAAACTGGTATAGCTAATTCAACCACAGAGCTTAGTGAATTTTAAAATGCACAACCTTTTCAACTCTTAATCATTCTTAAAATATTTTTATCATTATTTCTGATTCAAGGGAGAACTAGAGATATGATCAGAAGTATATCTGTTGACTAATAAACATGTACATGTATATTGTGTTTTTTAAGTCATTAATGTTTGTTTGTTGTTAAATGTCCCTCTTGGAAATTTTTCACTCATACGGAGACACCACCACTTAAAAATAATGAAGACGTACAAGTCGGATTTGAAGTTAACATTCATTTTAGAAGTTTTCAACAATTAAGATGTAAAGAGATAACTCCTACCCCTTGCCCCTTCCCCTTCCCAGACCCCTGTTTGTTCATGTATGCAAACTAGTCTAATACTTTGGTTTGAGATTAAAAAAAAATGTGAATATATATAAATAGTTTAATGATCCATCTCTTTGAATGATTTTCATTCCTAATTCTAGGAGGGTACATGGGTTGACCCAAATTCATGAATGAAATGTCAAGTAATCTTATCATTGATGCACTTTTATTTAATTTGATGTAGTCATATTATGAACATTTCCAGTTCATTAAGAGAGTGGGGATGACCTCCAGGGATTCATAACCTTAAACCATTAGATGTACATAACATAATAACACAAGAAACAAAATTATGTATAGTCAAATGGAAAAGTTTTCTACTAATTAGGAGTCACATGATCATTTGTCATTTCAGGGACAGGGAGCGGCTAGGGAGATTGGACCCCCCCCCCCTGGAATTTGCAGAGTTATTTAAATAGGACTATATACTGATTTACAG